AAAAATCCCGCTCAGCTTTTTAAAGGGGCCTCGACACACTGGGAAGGCTCTCCTTTTGCTCCTGCAGCCTGAGATTTCCCCACACACACAAAAAAGGGGGAAATTATTTGCCTAGAAAGCCCACCGGACGCATTCACAGGGAAGAACTCAATTCTTCTCTGAGTCAGGCCCACCCGGGATGGGGAGAAATGTTTCTCAGCACCTGGGAGCAGGGGTGGTCACTTCCAGGAGTCCTAAAGTCTTTCTTGTTGAAGGTGTGCAACTGGGAAGGGAATGGATAAGAGGAGAAGGGAGTGTTGCTCTGGGGTGATGGCAGGAGGGGAAGATGCTGGACAGTTTGGGGGTTCCATTTGACTTGTCTTACAGGGCCAGTCATGTGCCAGTCGTCCCCCTTTCCCAGGGGGTGTCAAGCAGAAAGGCAAGATGGGTGTTTGTGGTGTGAGAGTTTTACACACACAACTCCAGGGGGCGCTAATCACTGCCACCCTCCTCCCAGAGAGATGACCCTCCCGTTAATAAAGAAACAAACCCAGAATCGCAGCAGTAAGCAGCTCCCCAGAGGAGAGCTGTCTTCCCGGGTGCCCGAGCTCTCCGCGGCCTAGTATCTTCCGTTCCGGAGCTCACCATTCCTGCCTCCCTCCCGAGCCCACCCTTCCTAGCAGCGTGGGCCCCAGGCCTCCGCCAGCCCCAAGGCTGCAGGCCCCAGGCCAGGCTTAGCTCTCCGGCTGGCGGGGCTCCTCTGAGCTGAGCTGGGGGAGGATTTCTCTGAGGTCTCTGGGCCGGATCCGAGTGAGGCACCCTGGCAGGGGGACAGGCCAGGCGCAAGGGGGAAGCACAGGGCAGGAGGGGTGTTGATTTTTAGCCCAGGGTGAGTCAAGTAGGGATCTTCTGTAGGACAAATCTACCAGTAATTCAGGAGCACAAGCTACAGGCCAGATCCCAGCCTTCTGGTCTGGGTGCCTGGGGGATCTGATGCAAGCTTCTGGCCTTCCCCTCACCCCCAGAACTCTGCAGAGAGGCGTTCTGTTATGTGTGCAATTAATTGCTGAGAGGTTCCCGCGGGCAGAATGGCCCCAGGTTAAGGTCTCCACCTTACCCTATGTCTCGGGATGGTGAGGCTTGTGGGGGGAAGAGGGTCCATTTCCTACGGGCAAGGCGCGAGCCGCCAGCGCGGACTTTCTGAGCGTGGAGACTCGAGGGGCTCCTTGCAGCGGGCGAGTGGGAACTGGGGTAAGAAACGCTTGGATCAGAAGAAAAGCGGCGCAGGGTCAAAGGCAAGCTAAGGGCTCCCCGGGCTCCGGCGGAGTCTTCATTCAGAACCCGCGCGCAAGGTTCAGGGGACCCCCGCCAAGCAGGGGGACGAGGTGGCGTTTCTCTGTCCCCAACGAGAGCCTGCAGCTGCTTGAGCCGGACGGTGGGGCGCTGGGCAGAGCCGCGGGCCAGGGCTCCAGCGGAGTCGAGCATAGGCCTAGGGTGGGACCCTCAGACCCACAGTCCCAGGGCCCGTGACCGCGGAGCCCGGCGCGCCATCGGGAGGCTCGGAGCTCTCGGACCCCGGCTCCCGGCGCCGGGCCTGGGCGGCCGCGGCCGAGTCCCTCTCG